GCTCTTTGCCCGGCTGCACACATGGTGTGAGGAAGAAGCGGAATACGTCACTGCGGAAAACCTCCAGCAAGTTGAGCTCACTTTCGGTCTTCATCTCCACCTCAAAGCACTGCTGCAGATCCTCCTCTGAGAAGCAGGTCTTGCGGGACATCACCCCTTCGTGGGCCAGCTTGCCCACTGTCTTGGCCACGTACTTCATCATAGAGATGTTGGTGGGGTCAGTGCTGTCCAGCACCTCCCCGCTGAAGTTGAGCCTCAGGAAGCTTGTGTAGATGCCAGTTAGGGTCTGACTGGGAGGCACTGTCTTGGTGAAGTAGAGGAAGTGTAGTGTTGTGCAGACCAGCCAGCAGTAAGAGGGCAGGAAGCAGGCAGCAGCAATTTGGTTGTGGCGCTCCAGGTTCCTTGACAACATCTCCACCAGGTTGTCCTGCTCGCCCGAGCTGCTCCCTGGGCTCTTACCGCCGCCATCTTCTCCACTGCAGCCAGGTTGGCTCAGGCGCATCTGGAAGTACAGCTTCTGGAGGTTGCTTTCAGAGAAGCCACAGATCTCAGCGTAGCGGCCCACATACTTGCCCGGGATCCGGCGCAACGCAGATGGGCGTGTGGTGACGATGATGCTGGCCTGGAAGCAGAGGACAGGATGAGTTTTGAGGTGCTCCCTCTGTGTCTTTGACCTAACTTCAGCATGATGCCAAGCCTGAGACCCACATATGGTAGCGTAAGAATCAGACTACCCGGGAGCTGTGGTTCAAGGAGCTGCTGACCACAGGACTTTGGTTCAAACCTGCCCCAGTCGGAGGGGACAAAAGATCTTTCCTCATCCAGTGCTAGACATAAACAGAGTCTAGAAGGCCTTAGCCAGGCAGGCAGATTGCCAAATATTGCTTTCTTTGTCTTTCCAGGCTTGCCCCAAAGGCTCCACAGAGACAAACCAGCAACAGTGACATGAGGACACCTTGGCAAGTCACTCCAGGGATGAAGGACGCCTGTTCACTTGCAGCCAAGCTGGGCTACGAGCAATTAGCATAAGGGCAAGGGCCCCTGCCTGCAGCGCCCCAGGGCTCACCCCCAGCCTTTCTCCAGCGCAAAGGAGCTGGAGGAAAACAGAGACACTGACCTCTGGCAGGAGGTACTTGCGCAGCAGGTTGACCACGATGGCAGGGGGAGGCACAGGCTCATTGGGGTCACAGCACAGCTCTGTGCCAGCCAGCCGGAAGTCCAAGTTGAGGCGCTCCAGGCCATTGAGGATGAAAAGCATCCTGAGGTTGGAAGTGCCCAGCGTTGGCACCACGTCCCGGAGGTGCTGGTACTTCTTGGTGATGAGGCGCCGCAGGGAGATGGGAGTATGACTCTGGGACAGATCCTCACAGGAGAAGGGGATGACCAGCTCAAAGCGGGGCAGGCGCCCATGGCACCAGTCTACCACCATCTTTTTGATGAGGGTGCTCTTCCCCGTGCCCACAGTGCCAAACAGCACCACAGTCTTCACCTGCCGCCCACAGGCATCCACATCAAAGAGGTTCTGGAGGCTGATTACCCGGCTGCAGGGCTGCTGGAGCTGGTGCTGGATGGCCAGGTCAGGCGAGGGCTTCAAAATCTCCTCCAGGGAGCTCTCCTGGATCACTGGGTCCACATGGACCGCATCTAGTGAGAAGGAAGGGCCAAACTGCCTTTCCTCATTTGGCTGGTGGCTGAACCATGCAGACAAGCTCTTCTGATGCTTCCTTATGGCATCTAGGAAGAGGAAAGACAAGGGCTTCCCAATGACAGGGGACCTTTCCTCATTTGGCTGGTGGCTGAACCATGCAGACAAGCTCTTCTGGTGCTTCCTTATGGCATCTAGGAAGAGAAAGTGCTTGACAAGGCAAGGGCTTCCCAATGACAGGGGAAGTCATGGGGAAGTTGCTTGCCCCAAGCCACCGCAGTGAGCTGGCTGCAGAGAGAAGGGTGGAACCCAGGAATCCTGGCCCTCATTGCTTTTGCTTACCACCACACTGCTCAGGGCAGCAACTGTCCCCAACCTGCTGTGCAGGACCCTCCATCCTCTTTGGTGCAAGGTTGCAAGCTTACCAGAAGAAGTCACATTCCTCAGTGCAGTCAGGCCATGGCGGGGGGAGCTGGGCTGGGCAGGGGGTTCCTGGGACCCTCCCTGATGGTGAACGCAGCTCCTGCGAGAGGAGGGAAGAGTGCTGCGAGGAGGCTAGGGGCTGGTATCCCCAAATCTTGCCCAAAGCGGGGTGGGCAGTCTGCAGATCAAACCTGAATACCATGGGAGGCACTGAGCAGAGCCAGCTCACCAGCAAAGCGCTATCCTATTTTTCTCCCTGTCCTTCCCCTGCACCAAGGGAGAGCAGGGCTGGGGGCAAGGGCAGTGCTGCCACATGCCGTGAAGAGGAGCTGAGGGCAGGTGAGCAAGCTGTGCACTGTGCCATCCCCAGCCCAGTGCGGGAATGAGGCCGCAGCAAGGTAGAGAAGTTGAGCTGAATTCGGAAGGGGCAGAGAGTCATGCGCGGGTTGTTTTCCAGGTGGAAGCAGAGCAGCAACTCTGCCCGCAGTGCCCCAATGGCCCCGAGGCAGCCAGCCCTGCCACCCATGTCCCTGGTGGCAAATGGCCACAGGGGCTGAGAGGGCTCAGGCCAGGCCCCAGCTGCGTTGCACCGTACCTGGGGAGGGTCATGCCGTCTGCACGGAGGATCTTCCTGAGCAAGGAGCTGCTGGCAGTGCCTGGACAGAAGAAGCACACACACCATCAGGGATGGTCTTATCTGACCCAGCAGAGCTCACACCGCCCAGCTTATGGGCTTAGCGTCTCGCTGTGGCAACCCACAGACCATTCGGGCTCAGCCAGGGGGGTGGGGAGAGATTTACACCAGGGATGAGACTTCCCGAGGATGAGGACAGATTCAGGGTCACAGTCCCGCAGCCACAGAGCACGGCTCACCTGGCACCGAAGCAGCGCACGGGTACGCACGCCAGGTCCCCCTCCTCTCCGGCAGAGATCTACGCAGCTGCATCCAGCTGCTCCAGGGCAGGCGGCTCGGGCACTGCATGGCCCAGGACATCTTCTGGCTGAAATAGAGGGGCACGCCATGAACCATGCCGGGAGCCAACAGGCTCCCTCCCCAGCCCAGCTCTGCAGCCTGAGTCCGGGGAATCCAGGAGCTGGGGCTCGGAGAGATGGCACGGCAGGGGGGAGGTTAGGAAAAGCAGTGATCCTCTCCTAAATATCTGCATGCACGGTGGGTTCCCCCTAATCCCAGCGTGCCCCCCAGGCTGCTCCCCTTGCTGAGCCGTGCCACCTCTCCGTAGCACCCGGCAGCCCTTGCTGCGTCCTTGGCAGCCGGCTGAGCCCTCTTGCCGGGGCCTGCCAGGCCGAGGCGGCTGCAGCACGCAGAGATGCCGAGCGGAGCCTCCTCCCATTTAAAGCAGCCGAGGAGGCTGGCAGCCGGCAGGGAGACGAGCGCAGGCTGGCCGCAGGATGCCAGGGCACAGCTGGCTCCTTGCCTCGGGGCTGCAGTTGGGCACAGCACAGGGTGACATTTCCCAAGCAAAGTGCCTGTCTCCAGCCACGGATGGGGGTCTCAGCAGGTGCCCGGTGTAGCAGGGCTGCCCAGGCAGCCTTCCCGCGCGGGTCCAGCTCTGCAGGACCTGCCGGAGGAGCCAGCAGCGAGCAGTGCGGGGTTAACAGCCCTGCTCCCCAGGGATGTGGTGCAGCAACACCTGGCCTTACCTGCCCGCGTTGGGTCTCGCAGAACAGGCTGCGCCTGTGCTGACTCAGTCTCCCAGGTCCAGCTCAGCTGGGTGATGCTCCAGGGACACAGGCTGCTTTCAACACTCCCGACATGCTGAGAAATTGAGGCACAGGGCTAAGAAAGCAGACAGGAAGGGACAGGGGACAAAAACTCTCTGCATTTGCCTGCCCCCCACCCCCCCAGGAGAGGATAAGCAGGGTGACTGCTCGCTCACACCTCCAACAGCCTGGGCTCTTTGCAGTCCCTTCTCGTGTTTTCCAGATGGGGAAACTGAGGCACGGGGAAGGGTCTGGCAGAGCTGACACTGAACCCGGATGTTCTTATCTCAGGGCTTTTGCCGTAAGCAAACCCCGATGCACGCCGTGCCCAGACCACCCCCCCAGGAGAGGATAAGCAGGGTGACTGCTCGCTCACACCTCCAACAGCCTGGGCTCTTTGCAGTCCCTTCTCGTGTTTTCCAGATGGGGAAACTGAGGCACGGGGAAGGGTCTGGCAGAGCTGACACTGAACCCGGATGTTCTTATCTCAGGGCTTTTGCCGTAAGCAAACCCCGATGCACGCCGTGCCCAGACCCCAGCCAGCCCCTTCGCAGCAGCCTTGGCCGCCGGGGCACATCGGGCAGCAGAAGGCCCCGAGACGCCCGCCTGCTGCGG